GTTATCATATGAGTCATATGACGACATCATTGAAGACTTGGCGAAAAAAAATTAAGACGATAATCTATAGAATGAAAAATATGAAAACTATTTATTTGTTTGTACTTKTATTTTTGTTTTTTAATATGCTTAAAGAGTTTTCATTCATTAATRAAAGTACCTATACATCAAATATTGATTTTAGGTTTTTATTTTATTAATATTAATTTTTTTATATGGGGACGTGTGGAGGGTTTTTTACGTATTAATTATAGAAGTAAAATATCAATACCAATGTAAATTAGGACATTTAAGTGGTAAATTTATTTCAGCCTATTGGTGGCAAAAACCTTAATCCGGCCCTGTGTATGCTAGAACCTATTATGTCTTCGCTTAGAATCGTTTTTCATAATATGAAGTAAATAATGATTTATTATTTCATTCAAATTATATGCATCCATTACCTAATGCAGTAGCCTACTCAATGACGAGGTAAACTCGATACTTACTACTTTACAGCAAAGCGRTTATCTACCTGATAACATGTCCATCTTTATTTTATTTTAATTAGGTACAGTCAATAATAGGTATATATAAATATATACTAAGGTCAGGGATAATGAAACTTTTTCTGGTCACGAGCCAACATTTTGTGATCTAAGTTTAAAAAAAATGCACGTGCCAGTAATATAAGGTACTTACATATTTTTTTAGGCTGCATCTGAATTGGTTCCCGACATTCCACGAAACAAACATCCGAATTGGTCGGCGCATCCGAGTTGAGTCCGGAGTACTAGGGGCTAATCGCAGGTAATTATTATAATTATTATTATTATAATCCCAACTAGTTGGGTCCCGGATTTTTATGGGCGTAGACCGTTTGGGCGAATCGACCCAAAATATAGTCTGTTTGGGCGAATAACTATATACCTACCGTTTGGGCGAGGGTTTAGTCAACTAAAACTACCGTTTGGGCGAATAGATATATACTGTTTGGGCGAGAATTATTCAATTAAAAATACCACGGTTTGAGCGGTATGAAAATGCTTATAATATACACTCTGTGTATTTGTACTGTTCGATAACTATACATTTTTTACCTCTTTTCGTAGTTAAAATATGTTCAATTTTTAAATCCATTATAAATGTAAGAAAATATAA